GCTTTGAATAATAACAGAAGAGTGCGGTGGAAAGTCGTCGTACGTGGGATGTGGGTACTGTAAATAACACAATATTAGAAAATAACAACGCCAACGCTTCTCTGATGCATCACACTGAAGACAGGCCATCTGGGCTCATTTACCTCCATGTATAGATCAGATGGAGAATCCTGACAATGCGATCATGATTTCTTTTAACCCCAGGATAGTTGCAAGCATACTGTTTTTCTAGTATCCTGCCACACTTTCACACAGCTAAACATAATCAGACAGGAGATATGGACTCAGCGCCTTGCTCAAGGACACTTTAATAATGATTATGAGGCCTCCATACTCCATGTTTTTCCCCTCAAATGTTACCAGTGGAGTAACGGAGGGGAGAAATAATTAATTATTGTGTAATTCTTTAATTCTGCCATGAATCTCACACTGAGGCTGTGTTAAGCCTCCTCTGCAGGCAGGCAACACTTCCTCTAGAAATCTTGCAAAGGCAGCACACAAGTGTGTTCACACTGCAGAAGGAGGTACGGAGTAAAATGCATTCTGTATTGGACGTTCACAGTAGGTGTTAGGTGTAATTTGGGACAAACCATGTGAAAACAATTGACAAGCAGCGAGCAAAGCTGTTGCTAAAAGCTTGGAAAAAGGATATAGATCAGATCAGAGCCTGAGGGAGGGATGTGGTGTTTCAGAGGCTTGTTTTTTTTAGCATTGTAGCTTTTCTGCACGCAAGTCCCTCATCGAGCTGTTGCATCTGAGCGTCAACTGCTAAACAGGCTGAAATAGGTCATCACTGAAAAATAAATCAAGGCGCCAATGAGACAAAAAAATGCAACCCTCGCAACCCAAAGTGACGGTTATCAGTTGCGATGAGCACTTCACTCGGAGTTGGAGCTGCTGAGAAAGACCCATTTCCACTTTCCTTGTTATCTGCAGAGAAAAACGTCACTGAAGCAAAGGGATAAACTCCTGATCGCCTGGGAAACAGGCGTGAACACACACGCACACAAGCCAGTAAGCATCCCTCTACACACACGCATGGTCAAACACACAGAATAAAATCCAAACCGCCGCCTTCACACATGAGTGTCCACTAGACAGGCATTCAAATCCAATGCTCCGATCATTTATCAATCCAGATCAACATAATGGGCAGCAATAAGAGCGCATCCAATGCATACAAACACACACACAGGACAATAGGCCTATGTCTTTACACTGTGAGTATGCCATTAGCGTGTGCAGTAATGGAACTATATGGGGGGAAAGGAGTGGTTGCATTTAACTAGCCTGCAGAAATCAGATAACTCCACTCAGCACATACTGAAGGCACTTAGGCATCAGACAGCAGAGCTGGAAGTGTGTGAGTGAGGGAGTGACTGAGCAGCAGGATGACGTGGACATAAATTTTAGAAGACAAGTACATCTTCTGTGTCGGAGGTTCTGTGCAGACTGACAAGATCACATCCAATGAGGAGAGGAGTTTCTGCCACAAATTAAAGACAGCAACTGGGGAACAAATGGTTTCCAGAGTCCCTGTTGGCTAATTCCCACTTTTTGTGCTCTGCTCTGTTCAGTCCATCTCTCTATTGTTCTTTAACATTGTCACTCACTTTCTTTCTGTCTCTTTCTAATATCCGTTGTATTGTCTTTCTCTCTCCTCCTCCTCAGCACCCTGCTGTCTCTAAAGCACTTCCTCTTTCCACTCATCCCTTTCTGTCTCCACTCTCTTCACCATCTTTTAAGTGCTTTAAATCCCATTATCATATTCTATTTATTTAATTAATCACACTGCCAGAAATAGAATTCTGTAGTCAAGTTAAAGGTTTCAGTTGCAGGGTTTAGTTTCATTCATTAACACCCACACACACAAATTAAACCTGCACAGTACTGATGGAACACTGTGAAGCCTCTAAATACTATCATCCAATGTGCAGCATAGCAGTCATCTCTGATAACATACCACAGCGTGGTTGTAAACATAATTTACGGCTTGATTGTAACTTTTTGTGTTTGTTCTCTTTCTCCGTAAAGGCTCAACAACTTGTGTTTTCAAAGAGGAGCTGATTACCAACCAGAAATCCAGTCATAAACCAATAAAACACTTCCTCTTAACTAGACAGGCTCCTGACCTGCAGTCTAATAAAGTGTCCAGAGGTCGGTGTGACTGGTTCTGAGGAAGCGCAGTGTGGCTGCCGGCAGTAGCAGGGCCGGGGCTGGAAGTGGAGCCGCTTGTTTAGCAGACCCACCCTGACCAGCACAAAGGGGGGCAACGCCCTCCTCTGCCACCAGCCAACCCAGACAGCACTGTGATTGGCCAGCTGGATGACCTTTGATCCCCGCTGTATTGTGGTCTCAGCTGCGCCAACCCTCCCCCTTGTGTGTGTAAGTGTGTGTGTGTGGACAACAAAAGACAGCCAAGTCCTAATGCAGCAATCAGAGCAGTGGGAGAGGGGAAATGGTCTGAGGGGAAATGGAGAGTGTGTAAGTGTGTGCATTTATGTGTGTGCACTGCTGTTTGGATGGGGGTGGTGTAATTATGTTGTAGTTCTGATGACTGAGTTGCAACACTGATTAGCTACATCAGAACCCATTTATATCGAGCAGCCCCTTGGTTTGGACTTCAAAATCTGGCACCTCTCTCTTCTATCCCCAGCTTGAAACCAAATATAACCTTCCTCTAGGCCTTTCTGAGCCAAACTTGGTCATTTTGGCCCCATTTCTGGACCAAACCTACCCTTCCTCTAGCCTGATTTCCAGACCAAACTTAGCCCTCCTTCAGCCCCAGCTTCAGGGCAATGGCTGCCTTCCTGTAGACCTTGTTCTGGACCAATCTTAGCTTTCATCCAGCCCCAGTTCTGAACCAAACATAGCTTTTTTTGGCTCAGTTCTCCACCATACCTAACCTTCCTCTAGCCACATTTCCAGACCAAACTTAGCCATCCTTCAGCCCCAGCTCCAGGCCAAATATTGCCTTCCTGTAGGCCCTGTTCTGGACCTATCTTAGCCTTCTTTAGCCCCCCGGTCTGGACCTAACCTAACCCCTCTCTAGCCCCAATTCTGGAGTAAATGCTTTTTAGCCCCAGTTCTGAACCAAACCTAACCTTCCTCTTGCCTCATTTCTAGACCAAACAAAGCCTCAGATCCAAGCTAAATATTGCCTCCCTGTAGGCCCCGTTCTGGACCAATCTTAGCCTTGCTTTAGCCCCTAGGTCTAGACCAAACCTAATCATCCTCTAGCCTCATTTCCAGACCAAACTTAACCCTCCTTCAGCCCCAGCTCCAGGTCAAATATTGCCTTCCTATAGGCCCTGTTCTGGACCTATAGTCTTCCTCCAGCCCCAGACCAAGATCAACCCAAGCCACTCACTGGCCCCACCTCTGGACCAAACCTAACCTTTCTCTGGACAAGCTAACCCAAACTTTGAACCAGAACTGGCTACTTTTAGCCCCAGGACCAGACTTAGCCTTTCTCTAGCCTCAGCCGTAAAACCAGACCAAACTTAGCCTTGCTTTAGTCTCAATATCCACACCAAATCTAGCTCCCTGTAGCCCAAGCCTATATAGCCTAATCTAGCGTATGGTCCAGACCAATTTAACTAACCTAGCTTTTAGCCAAAGCCAAGCCGACCTCTAGCTGCAGCTAAAGACTAAATCTAGCTTCCCATTAGCCCCAGCTATAGACCAAACCTAGCCAACCTCCAGCCTAATCTTAGGCCAAATTTAATGCTTCAGGAAACCCAGTCCTGGGCCAAACCTAGCCCTCCAGCCTGGCCCGGGAGCTGTCTATGCAGGTGGTCTAGGGCTTGTGGGCTGAGACACCCTGAGCCCTGCACCTACACTCTTAATACACCCCATGTGACACGCTCGCTCTCTCTCTCTCTCTCTCTCTCTCTCTCTCTCTCTCTCTCTCTCTCTCTCTCTCTCTCCCTCTGTCTCTGGAGGCAGTGGGTCAGGGTAGACCACCCCCTAACAGCATGACTGGCTGTCTGAGGAATGCCATGTCATGGAACAGATGGAGCTCCACAGACAATAGAGCCGCATGCATTTACTGGGCCTATATATGAAGGCATGTGCCAAGTGTTGTAAATGCATGTGTGCATTATAGCTGCAGTCTCGAACATTTTTCCCCTCCTCTCATGCTCTTTGAATCTCCCATTTGTGCCAGGGAACAAGAAGTGTGGGAGAAATCACGGGAAGCTGCAGCAGCACTTTTTTTCCTCTCCCCCCCAACACATAATAACAAGCCCTGAAGAACTTTGAGCATGATGCAATCAAGTCCAAAAGACACAATTAACACCACAGCATGATGCAACGGGGGGAGATAGAGAGGATGCTGCAGACAGGTAGAATTATGTGTCTTACATATTCAAACTCAGGGCGCGTGTTTCGGTGGCCATGCTGTCCTGGAGATAATAGGCTACCTGCAAACCTATGGAGCAATAATCACCCAATAATCAACCAGCCAATATCACATTATCTCATTCCCACGCCAATAATGACGCAATAAGGTGCAGTCTTTACAACAATCGGGGTCTAAGCATCATAATAAGGAGCTATAGGCCTGCAAAGTTTAAGCTTTTTATATATGTGGCATCATTAGAATATTCCTATAAGATAATATTCACATTGAGACTATCTGTGTGCTGGTAGTTGTGTGTGTAAGAGCCGATCAGAGTCCTACTAGAATACTTAGTTCCCCTTCGTTATGGATTAGGGATGTAAACCGCTATCAAAGGCTGGAGCTGCCACATTTCATTCATTTCACGCATATGGGCCCAGTGGCGAGATCCATATCCAAAAGCGTTGCAGTTGTATCCAAACATTATGATCACCCCACAACTCACACATCGAGCATTCAGTGTCATCCCCAAGTGGATCGCACACTTCTTAAACTGCGGATTCATTCATTATAAAGACATTATACCGGCTCTCCGAATAACCCTGGGAAGTGTCAGTAAATAGGGATGCCAGATTTGACGGGAATCCAGTGAACTCACCCAAGAGAACGACGGATGATCGGCTCCCCGCTCCTCCTCTGTGTAAATCCAGGACCCCGGACAGAAATATATTACACACAAGAATAATCTGTAATGGGTAATTTCACAAAATCTTCTTCATCCGCACTGTGGAAGCGATGTATGGAGGCGATGTGGAGCCGCAAACCAACCTGGTCGGCGCGTAAACACACATACACGTAAAATAAAATAAAATAAAATAAGATAAAGGATTACAACAACGATCTTAAGGAGATTTCGGTGAAATTGGTGTATCTGTAGTACTCTCGGATGCTTTGGTTGTTGACTGTGTACTTACTGGGCTGCTTCCCCCGGCTCCACCCGCTAACCCAGCCTTCCCAGTGCGCCCATTGGCACAGACGGCCGGACATGCAAATCCACTCTTCCCATTGATGTTTTCCAGAGAAGAAAAGCAGGGCTCGGTTACAGTTGCTCCACTGCGCCACCGTGCGGTGTTTTAGCCACTGTGATGATGGAAACTGTCCTGTTTGTGGAGGGTAGTTGCAGCCAGTGAAGTACTCAGATCCTTTACTTTAGTAAAAATAGAAATATCATGGTCTAAAAATACTCCATTACAAGTGGACGTCCTGGATTCAACATTATGCCAAAGTAAAAGTACAGAAGCAGCAGCACACTATTTGCAAGATGCTGGCCACTTACAGTATCAAAATTAGTCTTTACATCATGCAGAATGCTTTCTTAACCAGTGTTATATCCTCCTGAGACCTGAACTTTAGTTGGGTATGCATTTTTAATTTCTCCAAACTATTTGGGCTCAGTAGGACCTGATAAGTAGCCTATGAAACACTAATGAAGTCAAAATGTCTTCAAAGGAGTATTTCCTAATAAACAGCATCTAATTTGTTGTAATATCAAACTATAAACATCATCAGTCATAAATAAACAAGTTTCAACGATAAAATGTGATCAAGTTTTGGACCGTGTCCACTTTTGTGTCGAGATCGGCTGCAGAACGACTTGGCAGAGATGGCTGCCATCTTGTTTTTATATGGATCAGTGCATTGTGGTCTCACTACCACTGGATGACACAAGAGTCCACAAACGAGGACAACAGGTCTGAGTTAAGTAGAATTAAGTATAAGGTCTAAACTGAGATGTCTTCATATGAGGACACAGGGTCTCAGGAGGATATTATTCAGAATCAGGATCTGAATCAGATATATCACCAAGTAGTTTTTCACTTATGAGGGATTTGCTTTAAACATACAATAAACATATTGAGAGAAACTAAAATAAGTAAGTAATACGTACTGCAACACTCAAGAACTTTGCACCCCTGATCAAAATTTTGTTTACCGTGAGAAGTTAAGTAGGAGTAGATGAACCGATTTCCAAAAGGCATGGAGTTAAAGATGGAAAATTTCTTCAATATTTTAAGCAAGACTACTTTTTAATGTCAATCTCTTACAATTTCAAAATAACAAAAAGTGAAAAGGACCTGAGGCAAAAGTTTGTTCACCTTGCATGGTCAGTTCATAGTTGCGCCCCCTGTGGCAAGTATCACAGCATCTAAACGCTTTTTGTAATCAACTAAGAATCTTTCAGTTCTTGTTTTACCCATTCTTCTAAAGTAACTAGTAACTGTCAGTGTCAGATAAATGTAATGGAGTAAGAAGTATAGTATTTCCCACAATGTATTTGAGTGAAGTAGAACGTAGCATAGATACTCAAGTAAAGTACAAGTCCCTCAAAACTGTATGTGCAGTACAGTACTGGAGTAAATGTGCTCAGTTACTTTCTACATCTGCTTCCCACTGGGTGAACAGCACCAGGGGCTCACAGATGAAAGCCAGACATGGCGTGCACCAAAAAATCGACAATCAGACTTACACATGTGGGTCGCCAATTTCCCATTTCCAAAGAGTTCATAAGCACGTTTCAAAGTTTCTCCAATCAATTCTGTTTTTTAGATCACAACTTTGGCGTGGAAAGAGGTGTACGCCTCTTTCAGGCCTTGTTTTGTGCAAACGCAGTGTTTATAAATGAGACCCCAGGAGGTTAATTAAGGAACCAGTGCCTTGCTCAGGGTGCTTTTATAAATGCATCCTATTTAATAATGCCATACTGGTTATGGTCCATTAAGTGTTCAGCCTTAATATCACTTTACATTAATGGTATAAATATAATGGAGTCATTTCATATCATTTGATTTGTTCATATTTGATTTAATTATATAAACTCTCAGTTTTATTTCCCAGTACAAAGACCAAAGGCATTTTAATTTTGAGATTTTGTTTCAAAGCCCTCTACACGCTGTCAAGAATAAAATGCCAGTGATTGAATGCTGAATCCATTATTTTTGTTAGCCTGAAATGAGTCAAATTCAAAGTCTGCTCCACTTAAAAACATGTCTTTTTGTTACCTCATTTAAGCATCGCTGTAGAGAATGATGCATCTGCAAGGCTGTTTTCAAAATTCATCTGCTGATGGAGCAAAGTCTTTCTGTACTCACCTTGAATGTTAGATATTAGATTAACGTAAATATCCACAATACTAGCTCCAGCCCTATTAGTAATTATTAAAGTGATACCATATTTGCAAAAGTAAAAAAAATGAAAACAAGAAAATACAACAAGGTTTCTGTAACCAGTAAACATTCCTGTGGAGTCCCAGCAGTCCCAAAGCCTAAGACAGATAAATAGCAGTAAAGTTCCATTATGATACAGCCAGTTCAGCCTATATAATATAAACAGTAAAAGCAGACTGGGCAGAGAGGCTGCCAACTGTCCCTTAATGTTCCCACTGTGGCTCCAAAGTCTGGAATCACATTATTTTTCATTCGCCGATGCCAACAACAATGAAACTCTGCATTTAAACATAATGTGCACCCAAACATTCCCTCAAAATGTGTCTCCTGACATGCACCATGTGCTAACTTCATAAGTGAGCTGGTCCTGGTAGGCATCACCCCTCACCAGTCCGATATTAGCCCTAATGAAAAGACTGAGCCTGAAGTCAAAAAGAGCCAATTCTCCTCCAACAAACTGAAGCCAGCTGCTTCTCACACGCAGAGAGAAGGCTCCAACTTTCCGTTGCGTCGAACTACAAGAGAAGAATGCACTTTTTCTTCTCTGAACATGTGCTGCACTTTACTAACGGTGGCCCGATCCCAAAACTCCGAAAAATCAACTGTGATTTTGATGTAGAGTACTAGAGCCAGCCTCGCTGCAGCTGTGCTATACAGGATGCAACAAAGGTCAGTGGAGGGACACTAACAGCGAGCACTAATGGGGATCCAGTAAAAGGCTGCATCATTCTCCATCTAGGTTTTTATGATGTCATTGAAAGCCTCACTTCTCAGCTCCTGTGGTGTGAACACAGACAGTCCTGTAATGGCCTGACTGCAGACAAAGCAGGCAGCACTGCCCTGACACAAAAATAGGTAATGAAAAAAATAGACCAATCAATGCTGCCATTAGTTCAAGTCTGAGCCAAACTTATTGTACCATGATTCTTAATGGTCAATACAAGAATGGTGAGGGTGGAGAGTGGGATCAAACATGGCCTCCAATCGATATTTCCTAAAGAGGCCCAAAACTGAAATGGAAAGATCAATATAGCGTGAAGGAAATCCTTGGCTTATATCTTCTTCTTGACACCTGCCAGTAAAGCTCAATTTGTGATACATATAAATCTTTATTTCCTTAAAAAATGTACAGCACACTATCCTGTAGGTTACACAGCTCTGTGATACAGAGGCATTAAAACAAAAACAAAAAAAGTCAGTTTTCACATTATGGAGTTTTAAAGGTCCAGTGCGAAGGATTTAGTGGCATCTAGCAGTGAGGTTGCACGATTGAAATTTATTGAGTTTGCAAAGCATGTGAGTCGGGTGGGTCCCGACTTTTTTGAGTGGGGGCCAGATTTGATAATGTAAAAATACTCAGGGTCAGCTACTACTAAAAAACATCCCACACAAATTAGACAAAGCAACTGTTTCATCTTTGACTGAAAAAGAATTCAACTTTCCACCGCTCCTGAAAGGAGTGGCCCTCTCTGTCAGCGTCACACTTGTTTGCTGTGATCATGTCTGCTGCCTAGCAGGACATTTCTGCTCTTAGATACCGGTTTGTTTGATTGTTTGCTCCCTTTTTATGAAAATGAATCATCTCTTTTAACACAGAGATCGCGTTCTAGGGCTGGTACGAACTCCCTTCTTTATGCCGCCTTTGCATTTTTGCACACAACCGAACAATGGCAGCATCAAAGAGGTGCAACCGACATGACATAATACAACAGCGTCTCTATTGTCACATTTTAAAGATGCGTTGGAAGCGCTTAAAAACAATAACTGGCATTAACAATCATTTACCATCTCTGTTAAATAGCGGCCAATCTTGACCTCTGCTCGGAGGGGAAGGAGTTCCCAGACCTCATTGTTCATGGACATTTTCAGCTACTATTCTTCTTTGAGTTAGCTGCAAACTGCTAAATCTAAAACTTTTAAATCTCCCACAGTGGGTCACACGCATAACATGTTATCAAAACATCACGCCTGTGCCACTCCCGTCCTGCAGTCTTTCCCGTTCATTCAGACATTTTATAGTTTAAAGGGAGCTGACAAAAACAATGAATGTTACAAGGGTAGGTGTAATAAGCTAAGGCTTTTAATGCTAAAAAAGCATTAATGTAATGTTTATTTATTGTGTATCTACCAGTATATTTGAGTTTTATAAGTTGGAAAATGACCAAAATTAGCCAAACTAAACTAGTTGTTTCAACGCCGTTACTACCTCTAATGCCACTTAAAGGCATTATGAAATTTCTGCCTTGAAAAGACAGTGTAAAAGGGGTTATCAGTTCTGCCTGTGTAGCTCCTACTTGGTGCATGTCTATCTGTACGATCATCCTGCCACTTTGAGGTGAGCAGAAAAAATGCAAAGTGATCTTGCTTGAAAAACCAATATTGTGTGGTGGGTCACCTATGGTATATTTTGAACAACAAGCCTTTTAACATTGGTCTGTGGGCCATGATTGGACTTTGAAACTTTGGACATGCCTGCTATAAGAGAACTGTGGTAGTCGATGAGAAAACATGAAAATACGAATGAGCCAAAGTTTGGTAAACCATTCCAGGCTACCGTAGAAACAATAAATGCCCCTAAATCCTACACACTGGACCTTTCAGTCAAATATACTTTATAATGCAAGGCCATAACTCAATGGGATTCAATAAGACTCTGAAACTTAATTAGCACCTTATCAGGTGGCACACAAAGTTCTTGTGACAAGAGAGTACCGAGCAGCATCAACTACAAAATATAGGGCTTATCATGTGTCCTTAAAGGATAACTTCGGTATTTTTCAACCTGGGCCCTATTGCCCCATGTGTATGTGTGTGTATGATTCATAGGTACAACTAGTTCTAAAATTGGTTCAGTATTGAGGGAGGCGGATGCAACCAGCAGCTGCGAAACAAGCTAAAACGGTAACGGGGGCAAATGTGTCCCGTATAAGTTTGTGCATTAAAAGTGCTTGTTTTCGCCACTGACCGGTTCAGATCACCAGTGCTATCTCTGTAAATAGCATACAAAGCGTTTCCCTTACCCTTCACTTGCTCTGGGCTGTGTGTGACATCATCTCGTGAGAGCTTTGCTTGTTGCCGGAAGAAAACAGAGGAGCCATGCTGAGCGCCGCTCAGAGTGGCGCTGGTTGTCCTGGAGTACAGTTGAGAGTTTTACTGCATCGGTATCATGGCTGCATATTTACCCGATTTCGAGAGTGAGGATGAGCCATTTATTACGATGACCGCCTGTACTTATTTGAGCCCGAGTATACGGACGAGGAGCTCCTACAAATTGAAGAGCAGACGAGGATAGAGAGAGAGGGCCAACAAGCAGACGAGGGTGAAGCAGCGGCTGCACGAACGCAAATCTCTAAAGACTGGTGGTGCTCCTGTGGTTGCTGTGACTCCATACCCACAGAGGAAGAATGTTTGTGTTGCAACGAGTGGGACCTGCTGCCCAATATTCATGGTCTCGATGTGTCCTGGGATGATACAGAAACTACCAAATGCTGTGTAACTACATTAGAGGATTTCCCCCCTCTGATCAACAGGGCAGTGCTGGATACCTTTTTTCATGTGCCCAAAATAAATTGGAGGAGGCGGCCAAAACCACAGGGACCAAATGGTCAACTATCCATCAAGTAAGTATAACCAATGTCTTCATGCATGTAATACTGATACCTAGAATTGTCTCCGAGACGCACATTTACTGTTGCATACTTCGCCCTCGTATATATCGTACCCTGTTTTCTTCTGGCAACAAGCAAAGCTCTCGTGAGATGACGTCACACAGCCCAGAGGAAGTGAAGGGTCAGGGAAACACTTAGTATGCTATTTACAGAGATAGCACTGGCGATCTGAACCGGTCAGAGGCAAAAAAAAAGCACTTTTAATGCGCAAACTTATACAGGACGCATTTGCCCCCATATCTACCTTGCGGCTGCATCCGCCTCCTTCAATACTGAACCAATTTTAGAATGAGTTGTAACTATGAATCATACGCACACATACACATGGGGAAATAGGGCCCAGGTTGAAAAATACCAAAGTTATCCTTTAAGACAGAATATACACATTTTTCTGGAGCTATAGTAAACCTTGATGTGAAAGTGAGCAGGAGTCAGAATAAACAAATTAACAGCAGTCGGAGGGGAACACTGTACATAAAGCTAGCTTGCATTTACACCAGCATTTTGCAGTGTGTTTGCTGTGACAGAGGGGTGTAACCATCGAGCCAATGTAATCAAACACACACTAACACACAAGATTAACTACATATTCCTGTCTTCAAGTAATATACAGATTTAATCACATCAGTTATTTAACCATTTGGGCTTCAGCATATACCGGTATTTGTTATGGCACAAATATCTCCATCATTTCCAAAGTACTCACATTACGTGTCATAGTTATGAAGTATTTATGTCTGTAAGTGACAGTGTTAGTTAAGCCTTCATGAGTCAGAGTGACAGGTTAGAGCAGGATCACCCAAATCATTATACACTTACACTGATGTCAGAAAACTGAAGCACTTGAGGAGAAAAGCACAGAAAGTCAAGCACTTATGGTCCTCGTTAGAGCATGTTCCCATATTCAGCTATATGTTGACATGGTGTAAAGTCTTAAGGATGTCTGATCTAGTGTCCCTGCTTCATGCTTTCTGTTCCTATCAGGGTTGGAAATTAGCATCAGCTTCCAGCCAAATGCTGGTTAAGTATGTAAGTGGCTGCTAAATTTGCTTTTCTCACCAACCAAAAACAACGGTAAACTATGGAGTGGCTGGTAGATTTTGGAATCCACCAGCCACAGTGGCAGGTAGCCAAATAGTTGATTTCCAGTGCTGGTCCCTGTACGTAACAGCCCTCTCTGAAAAAGTCCATGGCGTATTTGGGGAGTGTCCCTGTGCGTCTAAGCAGTGGCCTGTGCTGCCTGCTGCTCCTGCTTCCTCTGGTTGTACGTGTTGTACACATCCAGGAACATGTCCTTGCACGATATCTTTGCTTTCAGTTTGGAGCAGATGAGGAAGGAGCCGGCCATCTTGCGGTGGAGGGAGTATGACTCTTCGGGCGGCGGAGTGAGGCGGTGGCGCAGCATGATAGGGATGAAGCTCTGGATGCGCTGGGTGGTGCTCTGGGTGCCGAAGTCAAAGGGCTCCTCGGACGCAAAGGCTTCACCGAGGATCATCACCGCCTCCACGTGGGCGTCCTGGAAGGCCTGGTGGAGAACACGGAGAGGCGTTAAAACAGCTATCTGTGTGCAAAATAATCAACTGGACAATATTTCATCATAGAAGCTCATAACTGGTAGAACAGTTAACTGAGTTTACACAAACAAACTTAAGCACTTTTTTGAGAGTGTACTCCGATCAGCCACAACATTAAACAAACAGACTGACAGGTGGAGGAGCCCAGTAGCTCACCAGGGAGAGAGAACGCCCTTTGTACTAAGTCTATATCCTTCCTGCAGCCTTTTGCTGCATGTCATCCCTTCTCTCTTTCCCTCTCACTCTGAAGCTGCGTTATCCAATAAAAGCAAAAAAAAAACAGAAAAATAATAATACCGTTGCAGACTAAGTTCACCCCCTCATGACAATGTGCAACGCCACACTGCAAAAAAACTGTTCAGGAATGGCCCGAGGAACGTGACAAAGAGCTCAAGGCGTAAACCTGACCTCCAGACTCCCCTGATCCCAAACTGATCGAGCGTGTACAGGATGTGCTTGTACGCCACCTCACAACCTACAGGACTCAAAGGAGCTGCCACCAAGGCCCTGGTGCCAGACACCACAGGGCATCTGCAGAAGACATCTGTGTCCATGCCTAAACAGGTCAGAGCCAAGTCTGATCCGAGGAGGCCTGACCCTGGATCAGGGGTACCTCTGGCGTCCCAGGTATGCTCAATCACATTGGGATCAGGGGAATTTGGAGGCCAGGTCGACGCCTTGAGCACTTTGTCACGTTCCTCGGGACATTTGTAAGCAGTTTTTGTGGTGTAGCATGGTGCATTGTTCTGCTGGGGAGGCCACTGCAGTTCCCAGACAAAATCAATAATATTCACTTCACCTGTCAGTGGTTTTAATGTTTTGGCCGATCTGTGTTAACTCATGGACAGCCTGAGGAAATGTTTACTCGAGATGTTAGAACCTAAAGTGCGCATTATATGTTATGTAGCTATGCCGTATATACAACTCCAAGGTACATGTACACAATTCCACATCCTCAGCTAAGAATAAATAATGTTTTTTGTGCATAACGAATAGTTTTTCTCAATTTTCTGCCTGTTTTCCTCTACGCATAGCCACATTTTATAGAATACTAGGATAAAAATGTCATATAAAAAGGAAACTTTCCAGAAAGACCACACTAGATTACACTTGAGACATTCAGTGCACATACTGAAAACCTTCAGAGCACTCACTCAAAGTAAATACAAGACTGACACAACCTCTTTAACAAAGATACCAATAAAGTGTAGAGAAAAAGGAGGATGATGCACTATAACTACAGTGAGTATGACTCAAGCAGAGAGAGTGAGACTGGGGTTGGAAGAGACACAAATAAATGGACAAGACAGAAGAGACCGGGGAGGATAAACCACATCAAAAATAAATGAGCACAGCAGCAGAGACCAAAATATCTTACCTTGGTCTCGAAGCCTGTCAGGAATTTGAGGTCCTTCGATTTGGAAAGAACTGTGGCTCGATCACCCACGGAGGCTGCGTGCACCACCTGAGCACGCAACACACACAGATAAAATGATGATATGGATGTGGTAATCGGGTTTATTTAAAGAGCTCCATTTTGAGGCACTGGTAGATTGAAGTAGCTGCCAGTATTAAAGCGTGCAAATGCATGTGATTGTGTGTGACTGTTTTTTACTTAAATTTAGCCAAAGACTCTGGTGCTTAATTATTCACAGAAATCTTGATGCATAAATCATGTTGTGTGGGCCACTGGTGGGTGTCTTGTAATTTTAGATTCATCATACCTGTATGTAGTCATCTGTGAAGGATTCTGGGTAGCCTCTGCACGCTCCAAAGTCCAACAGAACAACCTACAGACAAAATGCGAGTGTTATGCATCTGCTGCACGTGATGATTTTTTGGTATGATTAAATATTTGATCAACACAGCATCCCTTTCTGTGTTAGACAAACATTTACAACTTCAACATCAGACTCTCGTTACCTTGTTGGTGTCTGAGTTGTAGAAGAAGTTGGCCCAGTTTGGATCCGTCTGCATGAACCTGAACTCAAACAGCTCCCTGAGACACAGCTGGAGGATCTTGAAACAGATCTGGAGATGAGAGGAGAGGGTTGTGTTAAATGCCGTGCTGTCATTATAATCAGCGTGATATTTTGATGCTGTAGCTCTGGTACAGTGCACTGCCACACACACACAATGTCTAAACATCCTGCATTACTGTAGGTCACGCTCCAAGTGCATAAATCTCAACCATTAAATGAGAATTTTCACAGTGTCTAATTTTCACTGCTGCTGTCCTTTACAAACAGTTTGAGGTCCTGCTGTATAATTTGCCAGCAAGTAACTTGTTTATAAGAGAATTAATGAGCAATTCATCAGATCAGTTCTGCACTTGTCACAGTATGGCACGTATGTTACAAATAAAAGTGATCTTCACTGGCTTCAATCACCAGCAAGGGGTGGAATACACATATATAATACATTAAATTTAAACAAAAGCACAGGGTGGTGCAACACAGTTATCTAGTCTGCTCCTTTTAGTTGTCAGAGGGTATCAGCTCTAATTGGCTCCCACAATTAAGGGCCCAGGCTGTGATGGTCTAGATCTGTCAGCCACTTAGTGTCGATGCAGCATTCTCACTGTGGTCCTTATATAAACTCCCGTGACCTTTATTTTCACTGTTCTTTGCTTCCAGCACTTTTATTACTTGTAATATATTATTTGTAGATTTTAACACAAACAGTACAAAAACAAAAGAAGACAAAAAGAAGCTCTTATAGGTAGCATGACCAGTAAGAAGTTCAGCACCAACTACACAATGGATTTCTGTACATATGCATATAGTGTGAGTACAAAGAGGCTGTTTGTCCAACCCATTATGAACAAGTATCTACACATATATGCAAACACTTCTCGATAAATAGGACATGATGGGATGCCATGTTTTATCAAAGATTACAGAGCTGAGGTGCATCTAAGGGCGCGTTCACACCAGGATAGTCCGGGGGACTCGGTTCGATTGGGCAGGAATGCTGAAAAATGTCACACCTTCATTTGGTTCGGTTCACTTTCACACTGCACTTTTTAAAAGAGGACAAAACTGCCTGGACAATGTCACACAGTTACAACAGCTGCACATTTGGGGGTGGTATCGCCCGAAACGACCACTGACCAGGAAGAAAAAAAGCATGAGGAAGAAGAAAGCCCGGCTAATTGATTGGCCAGGACCGAAAACGGAAATCCATCCCCTTCAGTCAGCTTGGTCGCCACAAAAACAATGGAACAACACCAAACTTATGCAGTCTCTCACTACCCCATGTCTGCCCACCAGATATTTTCCAACTTTTTCTTTTTTTAACCTCTGCTTCTCCCGCTTCGAGCTGTATGCTTTGTATTTTTTTTCTATCCAAAATACACTGCACTCTACGTTACTTCCTCTCTTAGGTTCACCTCCTTTCTTTGGTTCGCTGGATAGTCCGTTTGCATTTCCCACTGTAAGCAAACAGCACCAGGGTTCACTTGCAAGTGAACTGAGACCCCCGTTTTCAAGCGGACCAGGGTTCACTCGTTTGGTCTGCACCAGAGTTCGAATGAGCGTTCACACCACTCCAAACGAACTGAAATATCCATGGAAGCGGACCAGGGTTCGTTTAAAGCGGACCAAATAGCGCCAGTGTGAATGCACCCTAACTCTCTCCATGTGTAGCAAGTTGGTGCCAACCAGGTCTTAAAAGAAGGCACATCCTCAGTAAGAGAGAATTAAAATAGAAGAGATAAAATATTCATTTTTGCCACAACCATGCCATATTGTATTGTCTTTTGTTTCAAGAGGGATAGAGCTAATAGATGTCTGGTTCCACCCAGGATGGCAGAGCGTGGGTCTGGTGTAATATCGCAGTTGTATACTTCTGAAAAGCCCTTAAAAATATCTGACCAGAACCAATTTAGCTTGGAGCAAGACCAAAAGAGGTGGCCCAAGATGTCCTCTGCTGATGTAGTGTGATATAGCTTTGATGAAAAGAACATTAAATTGAGCATCACCACCTGATACAATAACAATATTGATCATGTTGCTTTAAGAACCTTCTGCTAGTCATTTGTAAAAATATTCTGCAATACCTCTCAAGCCCAAAGAATTAATTCCCACTCTCTCCTTGTCTCCAGTGCACCATGGGATTCATGTGCCTGTTTAGTCAACCCGTACCTGGTTCCTGGTCTCCTGGTCCAAGTCTACGCAGCGGTCCAGTGGGACTCCTTGTACCAGCTCCATGGCCAGCACCCTGCGGCCTGACAGCTCATCGACCACCTCAGGGATTTGGAAATATTCGTTTCCCTCCAGCATGGACCTGATATGAAGGCCAGATATGAATGGTCCGAAAAAAACAAGCCAATCATGACGAGCAGTTTGTGCATTGCAGAATATGTAGAATACGTGTGAAATCAGTTAGAAAACGCACATATACAGATACTTAACACTAATCCAGCCTGTCTTCAGTATCTTTATATCACAGCAATATTAAGAGAGAGAGTACAACAACTCTTAAAACTTTTTAAATTAATAAAAATAAGTCAATAAATAAATCTATAGTACAAATTCTCAAAGTACAAAGCTCTGAATTTCTATCAGAACCCAACATATTAAAGGAATACTCTGATCTTTTTAATAAAATCTAGAATAAATTCAAAGGAAAGCTGCAGTTTACGCACAATATATATGGAGTTTTACAGCAGGAGTTAACATTTAGTGAACATCTAATTATAGAATAGCTATCTTGAATCTTTATCGCCAACTTGATGTGGTTTTGTTCCTGTGCAGTTAAATGGTTTGTATCGGCTCACTGGTGGGCTTCAGTGTGGGAGGGTTAATGGTTCAATACACCACAAACCTACCTGAACTGCTTGGCACACTCTGCTTCCCTCTTGTAGTCACACTCCCATGCCAGCTCCCTCTGAAGAACCTCTAAGCTGCTGTCAGCAAACAGACCTGCGGAAAAACAAATAGTGACTCTGTCATCTTTAAACACAACAGTGTGGTCTCTGCAAATGAGCAAAGTGTGGAAACAATTTTCGTGGGTGTACGTGGGACTGTGATGGTGAACGTCACTGGATACAAATAACCTCTGTAATCATCTGTCAAGATAACTCATTTAATATTTTTGACTGAAGCATGTAGGTTTGGGCATCTATTTCACTCAATTGGTTACACACATTTCGCAAATAACAGGTTAATTTACAGTAATGTAACGCTCACACCTCCGTCAGTAAAAGTCTTCTCTGGTGAACAGGTAAACTATTTTTCATTGCTTTCTCACTGCAGGTCTCAACTTGGGTTGTCGCAAAATACTGGTGTTGACGATAACCATGATACTATTTCTTTCTTTTTTTTTTTTAAGATTGTTTTTTTAGGGCTTTGTGCCTTTAGTGACAGGACAGTTTGAGGTGTGAATGGGAGGGGACGACATGCAGCAAAGAGCCATGAGCTGGAACTGAACCCGTGACCACTGCAGCAAGGACACTGCCTTTGTGAAAGGAGTGCCTGCTCTACCCACTGAGCTACTGGCAGCCCCATAACTGCGATATTTAAAAATGCAATGTTGATATCATGTTTATAACACACATATGATAATATTGTGTAAATAATCCAGCAGCATTTAAATCTTTGTGTCTTTCTGTTCTCGCTATGTCTGAAAGATGAATTTAACTGATATTATTATCATTATTATTTTGTTAAATTTTCTATAGATATTAAGGGCAACACGGTGGGCCAGTGGTTAGCATTGTCACCTCTGCGCAAGAGGGTTCCTGGTTCAAACCCAGGGTAGTGGTTCAATCCTGGGGTGGGGGAGCCCTTCTGTGCAAAGTTCGCATGTTCTCCCCATGTTAACTCCAGGTACTTCGGCTTCCTCCCACAGTCCAAAGACATGCAGGTTAATTGGTGACTCTAAATTGTCCGTAGGTGTGAATGTGAGTGTAAATGATTGTCTCTATGTGTCAGCCCTGTGATAGTCTGGAGACCCATCCAGGGCGTACCCTGCCTCTCAACCAAAATAAACTGGGATAGGCTCCAGCCCCCCTTCGACCCCTAACAGGATAAGCGGTTATGGAAACTGAATGACTGATTGAATATAGATATTGCAATAATATCATCATCATGAACTCTTTCATGTAGTGAAAATCTGATATTGTGCCGGCCCTATAAGCCCCTAAGGTCAATAGTTTGAAGATCACTGTATTTTAAACCCTGTCATTTTCAATTTCAATTTTATTTATAAAGCCCAATATCACAATTTGCCTCAGTGGGCTTTACAGCACACAACATCCCTCTGTCCTTTGGACCCTCACAGGGGACTTCTTACAGTATGTACATGACATCTAGTGTGTAAAAATAACTACAATGTGTAAATATTTATTTTTGTATGAGAGTCTTTCCCATTTTGTACACAGCAAAACAAATGTAAACGTGTGTTGACAAGTCGTTGTTTACAATACCCTCTACAGTTCTATTCGGGCATTACAAAAACACACCACTAATATTTTAAGTGCTCAGTACAGAACCCAAAGTGTAGTATGGCTGTAAAACAGAGTCAATAATGTGACTGAAAGATGTAACTCCAGTTTAGTTTTGTATTATTGAATAAATGAGAAAACACACATTTTCAATCGAGCACAAATTGTAGGTTTTGATAAAAAAAAATGTTCGGTTTTGATGTGTGTGTGTGTGACAAGTTTTAAGAAAGTGGTGTCATTTTGCAAACAAAGTGCTGTTTGTGTCTTTTCTTCTTCTGTTAAGAGCTGCGTGTGTGAGCTGTTTTGAAGAAGTAAAATGTGACTGTAAACATGTGCCACAGAACACAAGAGAAACTGTAATGATGCAGAAATCCTCTCGGTTACTCAGCAACAACTGTGTCACCTAGTTTTAACCTGCAACTACAGCACCACCCTATGGTCTACTGTCATAGTGAAAACGCTGGAATGAAAGAGAACAGGAGCTAACCGATGGGAGAACAATCTACGGTCACCTCCCAGTATAATGATGGGGGGCAGTCAAAGAACTTTAAATCTCAAGCAGTTTTAACATGCAAAAAAGCTGAATTTGAATTTCTTATCCTCAATATGGCTTCATCACCAAACACTGAAACAATCACCGATGTTGCTGTTACCTTCTGGCAGGGTCATGCTCATTTTCAGGACGGATAGCAGGTTGTTTATGTCACTGTGGATGCTCTCTGCCACTCCAGGGTACTGGGAGGAATATGGAAATAACAAACAACATCAGTGCAGACAGAGGTTGATAGAAGTAGTGAGGGATACAGACATAGAGTGTGTATGAATACCTGGATCTTCATAGCGATCTCTCTTCCATCTTTTAACACCGCATGATGCACCTGTCCGATGGAAGCTGCAGCAAACGGTTTGTCTTCAAAGGATGATAGCTTATCTCGCCAGTCAGGCCCCAGGTCCTCCTCGAGAACTTTCTGTACAATCAGACCCACACAGAAAAAGTTCTTACTCTAAGGCAAGCTTTAAAAAATGTACAAACATCAAGCTGCATCTGTGAACTGCCAGGCTGAATAAAACACACTTAGTCAAACCATCTTCTGTGCAATCTCATCTTGTCAGAAACATACACTACAGCTCTGACACCATTAACTGCTAGTAAACAAGATGACTATGTTTTCGGGAAAGCTCATGCTTACAGTCATCTGCCAGGTAGGCATGAAGTCTGCACTCTGCCGGACTCTCTCAAAGATCCTCTGCAGCTGGGGGCTGATGAAGTTGTTGTCTGGAGAAAAATAAAAATATGACAAACTGTCAGAAACAAAGAAAAACATTTTCACTGCCTGAAATCCTCTGACACTGTGAGGACATCTGAACATCACTTTGAGGTGATGCCGTTGCTACAGCGTCCACCTTGAAGGCTGAACATCTGTCCGATCTTGAGTGCGGCCCCGCGGACCTTGCACAACGTGTTGACTATTCTCTCAGCGTTGGCGTCTGACAGGAGCGGAGAGTTTATGATGGCACCTTCTGCAAAACAGCACACACAGGATTATTAGCAGGGATACAAAGCATAAGCTGCACCACGTACAGCTGCATGATCAAGAGTAATTTGCCTTTGTTAGTATCTTCAAACTGCCGCACATAAATAATTAAGCTCTAACTAGCCAATTGTAAAAAGCAGCGTGTAAAAACTGGGGCAGTACATCATTAAACACTGCTCATTTAACACATATTAAAGCCTGTCTTTCTTGTTAACAGCTTTGATTTAATGCCTGTCCAGTGCCTGGCAGGTGCTGACACATGAGAAGCTTCTCCAGGGCTGACCAGATGTCCATCTGTCTGCTGGATCTGACGAGTGTGCACTGGAACCAGGAGCTCTTTTACAGGATGGGAGGAGCACAGGAGAGAAGAATATCATTACCTCCTTTCTGTTTGCCTCCCATAGACTGTTTTGCCACTTCCGCAAGGGTACCAATCCCAAGTCCTACAGCGAGTCCTGCAGCAGGAAGATGGAGATAGAAGTGATTTTAGATTCAGGGCCACTTAACAGATGCTTGAGGGAAGCACTGATTTGACACAGCTGCTGCTGCTAGTTGAATACGAGAGAATATTTCATGTCTGATGTTGTTTGCAAAACATTTTGACTTGAAAAATTCTGTCACTTAAGAAATATTGCAAGTAAAAAATCAACTTGTTGCTGCTGTGAAAATGCAAACACATTTCCTTTTCTTGTAAACTGAGTGAAAAAATAATAATAAATACTAATTAAATATATTAGGAGTGGGAATTAGGCACCTCATGATTTGATTCAGAGCTCTACTATGCAATTACAAAATGATTATCAGTGCGTCTTGATGCATCAAAACTTTTATTTCTACACAGGATTTTCTCACTGTGCCACTACTTGCTACTTTTAAAACAGTGTTTTTGTAAAGATCCATAATTAAATTGAACAAATGAGTTAACATGTATATGCATTGTGGCTCTTTTCAGGGTCCGTTTTCCCTTTAAGTTCACAGAAGCTAAAATGCTTCCACGTGCTAGCTTTTAAGCCAGGTAGAGGCAGTCAGATTGTATCCTCATCAAGTCCCAAGAAGTAGTCTCACTAAAGAATGTACACGACGCACATTTTTACATCAGTTACGTTTCAACATCCAACTGGTTCAGCCGTAAGGAACATGCATTCCAGTCTTATAACATTGTTGTCATAATGTCAACAGCTGGGTTTTTAATGCAGGGTTAAATGTCAGTGATCTTCAGATCACTTTTCTGCATCGAGACATAATCTTTCTAAAGAGAATCGCAGTGCATCCAAGAATCAATTTTCCCCACCGCTAATACTGACATTTAACCCTGCATTAATGTGGTGTCTGAATAACTGGCAAGATTTGTTCCAGACTGGGAAAATTCCTGTGAATGGCCACTGCAAATATTTTGGTACATGAGTTGCAGATTTGGCATCATATATGCAGAAACACTGCGGATGAAAATAAATGTTCAGTTATAATTAAAAACATTTTATTAAATTACATGTTGCATCATGATATTTTGCTCACATGTAATTTGTAATATGGTTTCAGGTTGTAACTGTTAGTTGCTGTCTGCGTAGAGTGACCTAGAATATTTAGAAAAGTTATTACAAGCGTTAGTCAGGGAAAGCAATAAAGTAGTTTTAAGGGATGTACTGGTGCGGCAACAAGTCTGGGACAAAATCACTTTGCAATGTAAAGCTGCAAACTATTATTTGAAGCATTCACATACACAGATTGTCATTTTGTGGGTGAAGTATTTTTCCAGATTGCCCATTCATCAACTCCTCCCAGATTTAGCCAGTTAGTGCATTTAGCTAGAGCAACAATGTCAAAGCAATTGTGACATATTATGAAACAAAACTGAACTTTTAAATAGACAATAATCAAATAACATTTCATAATAATGAGTTGAGCTTCAATCGTTTCAAATTATTTCACCAACTGTTTAATTTATTCCTTAAAACTGTACACACTGGGACTCCACACTCTCAAACACCGCCTCCTTTCATTACAACTTAAAGCTCATGAACACACTGAAGTTTGAGGAATGACTTCCCAACTTGTGAAATAGGACCATCCGAGGAGCTCAAGTTCTCCTAAGGAATGTGTTTCGGCAAGACCTTCGAACCAGTTTAAGGGTATACAGTATATTCAGGCTCCATACTATCATATTTAGTTATGAAGCACAGATAACAACAGAGCAACAGCCCCACTTTTGCAACACTGGTGTTCAGACATTTGTTACATTTAACAGCACGTGTTAAGTTGTGAGCTATGAGTCATGTCATTCACCTCACCTTAAGGTTTTTTTTATTGTGCTGGTAAAACATCGTAATGACTGATATCATGTGAGAGGTATAAAAAAACGTTTTTATAGCAACACTGTATAAGTGTAATTACTGCTCTCTGTGCTCTTTATTCCCAGCAGACTGTGAGCTTGCGTGATTCCTAAGACATTCAAACATTCTCTCCTGAACAACAATGTATGAACAATGTATCTTGTCAAATTTGACATGCGCAACAATGGAAAAATGAATAAAACAGTATATTATTCTCACCTCCAAAATTAACCAGCCGGCTGATTCTTGTGGCGGGCACCTTCCTCTCTTTGGCACGGTCACTCAGCTGAAGAGGTCATACCAAAAAATAACAAACAAAGACAAGTATGAGAAATCTTATCTAAAGCTGTTTCTGATTGGCATTGATTATCTCTTGATCTTTGCCAAAAGAGAAACAAAGTGGGAAACTCTTCAGACAGTAACCTTGAATTACATCACAAAGTCAAACACACTGTTTATGTCACGCGTTACATAACATGTCTCTACTCAAAATATGGTCCTACCATCTGTCTGTGGTTGATCTCCTGCCTGTACCACTATGAATATACAACTAATGCATATGTATTTAACATGTGAATATGAGAGACAAAACACATTACCACCACTGGAAGTACTTTTCCATTTCAAGCTTCACTGCCTGTACCCAAGTCACCATCTTCCTTATCTCAACAATGACCCACCAGGTCAAGATAAAATGTATGAATGTAAAATCATACATGACCATCTGCTCATTACAGGATCGGTCTCACTAGATACTGTCATGCTCATGAAAACAACAAATGAAGCTCAGACACTGAAAGATGATGAATAAATACTCTTTCAGGTAGACTTTGCATGCATCTGCAGTGACTCATGTTGTTTTGTTTCAATCAAAATTAGTCTGTAGATGAGTCTTAACCCACCTTCTGTCTGACGGGTTTGACCAAGGCCTGCTTGGCCTCCCTGGCTTTCTTGATGTCCTCTGGTGTGAGTCTGGCCACCACTGTGTCATGGACGGCCCTGGTCTGGTGGTAGTAGTAGGGGTAGAGGCCGGGGGTCGTGTGGAGGAAGCGAAAGCTCTGTCCCGGCCAGCCCGCCCCTGCAGGACCTACCCCTGGGGAGGGAGGAACTCCTGTGGTATAGAAGGAGAGGGCAATGTTTAATTGATACATGATGTGAACATAAAATAACCTATATGTGACTGTTTTGAAGACTTGTCATATCGGCCTATGTGTCCAAAAACTGAGTACTGAAAGTGGAAATATTAAGTTGCTTATTGTTTTTATGATGTTAAGGCATCTGCACTAGTATCCTGGTCACTTTACAAGATAGCTACCATGTTTTTTATATTGTATTTTGTACTGTGCAGTCTGTACATACTGCTTCTGTTATGTTAGGCACATCGATTTACTGTAGTCTGCATTGCACCTTGAATTTTATTTTTATCTATTGCATCTGGTGCAACCATGTTTTCATTTCTTGTAAATCATTAATGCCATGGCACACTATCCTCTCACAAATCGAATAAACTAAACTAAACCAAACTTCACAACCCTGAAAAAAGGACTTAAGGCATTAAAATATTTTCATGAAAAGAAAAAAAAACTCTTTTAGATCCATATACTTCGCTGGTATTGACAATACCTGTTGGCATCTCTGCTTCAGCTCCAGCTTCTGTCTGGCTTTGCTCCGCAGCATCAGGGAACTCTGACCCCATGGCCCATTTAGCTGCTTCATCAGGGTCCATATTCTCCCATTCCTCCACCTCCGGGAACACATCCTCCTTTATCGTCTGTTGCTACAGACACAGCAGAATTGGAAAATTTAACCAAATAACCACCTGTATATATAACTTGGGCTACATTTATGTTCTTATTATATAAATTAATTGATCACTTATTGTTTTTAATAAATCAATTAATCATTTTTAATATCAAATGCCCATTTCAAGTTTCCCAGAGCCCAAAGTGATGCATTCAGGGTCTCATCCTTACCGCACTGCTGCCGCCCATGATGGTGCCCACCAGTCCCTCCACCACACCCTGAGCAGCCTGGACCCCAGCTCCCACGGAGGAGTTACAGGCCATTAATCGGAGCTGCTCTCCCTGGGTGGTGACCAGGGCAGACCCCACTTTGCCTGCCCCCCGCAGCACCTTCAGGAGTTCTGATAACATCACTTCAGATAGAAAGGTGGAGAGGAGGGAGTCAGGTTACGTGGGGAACGATGGTGGAAGTGACAGATTTTTTTAAAAAGTACACAAAGTACCAGACACACCCACCACACTTTTTGACACAGATAAGCATATGTTTGTGACATTAATACATCCATGCAGTTCTGGGACAAACTTTGATCACAGTCTTCACCCTGCTAGATGCTTTAACCTTGGATATGTTGTGCTACACATGTCAAGACATGCTCATGTGGCTTGGACACGTGTCGCCTATAGTAACAGTGCACCAGTGACCTGCTGTCTTGTGCACAGTATTTTACAACACATTTACATGATTAAAACCAGTAACTACACACTCTCAGCTACGTCAACTCGCTCATTAGCTAGCTAACGTTACTGTATCAAGTGTCAACCATGTTGTATAACGTTAGCTGCTGAATGAAGCTTGTAGTCGTAAGCTAGCTAAACCGAAACAGTTATACACAAATGGTTTATTCTTCCACGTGAAGAAAAAACGTTAATAAACAAAACATATTGCTGTAAACAAATGACGTTACTCACTTTTCCCGAAGCTGCTGTAGTCTCCCTCCTGTGACTGTCCTCTTTCACTGCCAGGTTGTCTGTTTTGCAACGCTTTGACACCCGGAAGTTCAAATTTGACTGACCCGCCCTTCCACCAATCACAGTCCGGCTTTTGATACATAGGCGGAACCCAGATGGAAGAGAGGAGGAGTTTGTTCCTTTGACCAATAGCAGTGCAGAATATCAGATGATGGACGTCTGAATCAGGGCAGTTGGTCCAATCACAGTCAACGTAAGGCGGGCTTTAGATGTAACAACGGCTAATGAGAATTCAGGGGTGTCCTCGTCCTGAAGGACGCTTGAATGCACGTGCAAAGAGGCACGGTCGGTTACCCAGGTGTTTCCCAAGCAATAGTACACTTTTTTTTGCTATAATTTAGACATTATTTTTTAAAATGTTTGTTTACATGTTGCCCTCAGCCCACCCTATAAGATGCAGACTTTAACTTATTTATCTGCAGCATTTGTGTGTGAAAGAGGAACAGTACGGTGCAAGGAATGCAAAGAAAAAGAATAAGATGTTTGTATTTTAACAATGCACCAGCTGTAATTGTAAAGTTACTGAGCAAGTTCAGTGGGGCTGCCATGAAAATACTTCACATTAAGTTGCTGTCATTGGTCAAAGGCATTTCATTTTATACCATTTTTATGTCTTAAAAGGGGGTTTATGGTTAATAAGTTTGATTCATTTGTCTGGCAGTACAGTTGTTGTGATTTTGTGAAGTTAGGAATAGTTTAGGAGACACTGAGTTAAGTGGTGGGGCTTGCATGAATGATCAGAAATGCTATGCAGAAGAAATTCATAACTTGCTTTTCAACAAAGCTGTGAAAATAATGTTGCAAAATACTGTTATCGACTCCAGAATATAAATATTATTATTTCCCAGCTGTTAAATTAAGTCATAAACACACACAATAGATTTGAAAAATTACAGTAGCCTATTTTTTTACTCTTTGTAAAACCCAATCATTGCACACTAATAATATAACCAAAATCAGTAATATAGTTGTGAATACTAGACAATAATTACTTTTTAAATCCTAGCATATCTTCATCTGTTATCCTTGTTTTGGAAGAATAATCATTTGTTAATAAGTTTAATGTGTGTATGATTTGTTTTAAAACCTAACAAGTTTTTTAATCACAACTTGCTTGATATAATTAGTTTGGAGGGAAAGAAATTTCTGAAACAATAGCATGACATCATTATGTAATGACAATATGATTCCAGTAAAAATTGATTATGAATTAGTGCCCAGCCCTACAGCCTGATGCGTGTTACACAATGGAAATCTTTTCAAGTGAAAACAATTTAGAGAAAATACATTTTCTTTATTTAAAAAAAGGAAAAAAAATGTTTATCAGGACTACAGTTTGTTTTTTGTTTAACTCATCTGTAATAGCTTAGCCATCTTCTTCTTTACCGTCACTGACCTCAGAACTCCAAGATGATAATGAGTCAGAGGACTTTGGTTACTTGTGTAATGAATGCCAGTAAGCAAGGTCGACATGAAATACTGTTTACAGATACAATACACACGATGCAGTAGTGCTGGCCCTCTGCTGGACTGAGAAGGTGCTGCTTTGAGATTTTGCATCTCTGCATATATGTGCACAACATACTGACCACTATCACACACATATTGTATTTCTCCACCACTGCCTAAAGATGGATTTTATTGTGTGTTATAGGTACAGTATGTTTAGTGTAAACATACTAATATTTTTTTTTGTTTGTTTGTTTCATTTCTAACACACAGGGAGCTACACGTTTTGGAAGATAAGATAAAACTTTAATGATCCCTGTTGGTTAACTGGGTCAGTGGCAGCAAATAGAAATACACATGTGGAGGATTTTGTATGGAATTGAAACAAGATTATAAAATTGGCACAATATTGTTAAAATCAACTACAGAATCATAAATATTTACATGCATATGTACATATCCTATCAACACCCTTTACATTTTTACTGTGTGTCCTGATGTGCAACACTTTTACCATTTAATGTGCAATAATATGTATATATTTCTATATTTTTACAGTAATAATACTACACATCATCCTATGCAACTATCAGTTATGAACATACAGTACCTAAATGAAAGGTACATACATAAACAATATTTGCATCGGGCATAGAGCACTTTACTTAAACTGTGTTTTTCTAACTTAGTTCTTTGTTTCTGCTTATTTATTTATTTATTAATTTATTTTATCAATTATCTTTAAAATCTAACTCTTATTCTAATATCTAGTTTTGCATAAAGGGTGACTGGCAGTTACGGGTTTCACTGTACGGTGTAAATAGCTTTGTTTTTACTGTGCATGTGACAATAAACTTCTTGATTTCTGGAATTAATATTATAAATAGATGTTATAGGCTATTATCTTAATTTTTAATTTGTGTATTTTTTTTGTTGTTTTTTTTTATCCTATTTAGGACTCAATCAATTTTTCTCCTACTTTTTTCTAATTGTTTTCAGACTCTTGAGCTGCTGTGACATGTAAATTTCCACTAGTGTGGGATTAATAAAGTATTATTTTATCTTATCTAATCTTGTTTTGTCTTATCTTATCTTATCAAAATAAGCAGGGATGCACAACATTTGATTTCTATGCCAATATGCCGATATATATCAACTTATTTGGCAGATAAGAGATACCAATATCGATATAGCCACATTTTTCCCCACCTATATTAGTGATCATTAAGTCTCTTCTGTAGTAGAATTAATGTCATATTATGCACTCTTATCTTGAAGGCCCACCAGCAGATGGAAACATGAAATAGAGTGCTTTTTAGTATATGTAATATTCATTAATTGTGCAAAATAAGAAAAAGCTTGTTGGCCAATCCTTAAAAATAAGATATAAAGATGCCAAAAAACAACAAGAGGACTTAAATAGTAAAAGAATTAGAGTACATGATTAAATTATGATTTAGTTTGTATTACCTGACCAAAAATATGGAAAATATTTAACACCAAATTAAAGAATAATGAGGCATACCATGGTGTATGAAATAGATGAGGAATGGTGTGAGCATGTTGTGCATACTTTTAGTGTAACATGTGTGCAAATGTGGCTTTTTTAAGTGTGTATGGATTCTCCCACCTGTCTTTGGCACAGTGACCTTTTGATGCTGAGGTTTTACGGTGTGTGTCCAGTGTAGTGAGAGTGTGTGTGTGTGTGTGTGTGTGTGTGTGTGTGTGTGTGTNGGGGGGGGGGGGGGGGGGGGGGGGGGGGGGGGGGGGGGGGGGGGGGGGGGGGGGGGGGGGGGGGGGGGCAGCAGAGGGAGGGAGCTGTGCAGACGCCATATATGGGCACACCACCGACTCTGCATTGCTATTGGCTGCGGGCCTTATGCAGCTGCTTGTCAACAAGATGGCCTTCCTCCTCCTGCCGTTTTGACACTGATTATTTTGGTATCCCCGAGAACATACCGTAAAAGCTTGTGTCACTTCTAAATAGATAGTGGGAGAACGACTGCTCAGAGTCCTAACAAGGCGTACAGTCAGCTAGACTTTGTTCAGAGAGCTGACAGGCACACGAGCCTCGATAGCAGCCATCACCAGACAAGGTTGATAATAGAAAGTAGCTGCTGGCTAATGTCGACGTTAGCCTGCGAGTGAGCTAGCTTAGCTACGTGGACACGGATAGTTAACTCGTGTCACCTGCGTTTCAGCAGACAATCTGGTTCGGTTAGGGGGGAATACAGCGAGGAAACACTTGTCATCGATCGTTTGCGAGTCCAGAAGATTGTCTGTGGACATCAACGCTGATAAGGTGGGTACGCTAGCACAATATAACGTTGAGGATTTTTTTTATCTTGTTAGCTTGCTAGCAAGCGCTGTCATGTTATTATGCAGGTAAGTTGTGCTATCCAGTTAGCAAGCTCGTTAGCTAACGACGGCTCCATTTACTTTGCACAACTAACCGTGTATTAACTCTATCAAGTATTAAAGTTACATGAAACATAGTTGATTTAGGTTTAATTATTGTTGATTATTCATAAACTGAAAAACACACCGAACATTTAACGTTAACTACGACGTTAAGCTAACTGTTTGCTAGTTGGGTAACTAACCAGCAAGTGGTTGGTCAAAGACGTTTTGCCAGACGTTCAAAGGTGATTGCCGAAGTAAATAACAGCAATCAGATGGGTGATGTTGTTGCTGTTATTGTTGGTGTTTGTGACACCACACTTGTTGGTTGTCACTGGGGAAGGTGGCTTCATTTCAGACAGTTTGTAGGGTTGTAAGGTGATCTGAAACAGAACCAGGAAAGTAGTGGTCAGGTGACCTGCAGGCCTTCCTTTGCGATATGGAAATTTGATCATAGTAAAGACTAAATAAAGATTGCATGTGCATTATTTTGGTGATGCATTTATGAATAAAGGTATAAACTTGTTGAAGTATTGTATGGTATAACTTAGTAGGTACAAGGAGATGTGTACGACTGGATAAGCCAAGATGAACAGGACTATTGGAGAGTAGTATATTAAGACCTCATGTTGTCATTGCTATAAAACTATCAGTTATGTTTGATTCAATGTAGACTACTTCAACATAAAATACTGTCTGATGTGATATTGTTAGACCCTGCATGATTGTCCCTCCTCCTCTCAGATGTCCAAGTATGATAATACCCTGTGATGACACAGTGGCCTTTGTGATTGTAGTATCAAAGCTTGCATCAAAGTCTAACTTGTGACGATGTTACAGCACCAACGCGCAGATGCTCACACAGACAGCCCTGCAGGCCAGTCAGCCACTCTTCCTAGGTGTCCTCTCAATGTAATAACGTTCCCCGAGCAGACTGCTGGAGTGATGCACTCAGCTCTATTGTGCTGTTGACAGTTTGCAGCAAAGCTGGCCTGCTGGCTGTGCTTCTGTTGCATTGTCTTCACAGGCGCACATGCAGAGAGGGAGATTGAGCTAAGACTTTTTGGCGTGCTTCTGTATTATCATTCGTCAGCTTTTGGCAGCCTGGCTGAAATGCTGTGAAAGAGCGCAGGAGGGCTGGAGGAGAGTATGAGGTGGCTGAGTGGGAGTGTT